GCTTATTAGTGAAGAAAGAAAGATTCTTGATTCTATATTATCTTTGGAAAGCTTTGTAATTTACAGATGTTTTTGAGATTCTTCTTAGACTTTAGAAGCATTTTAACAGTGACTTGAGAGGTTTTGGGTACCGCGAAATGTGGAAGGAAAGAAAGAAAAATGAAAAGTGTGAGAAACCCAATCGTTGAATCATTGAAGCTTCCTTGAGCTACTTCATATGCTTGTGGAATTAGATACCATAATATTTGTTTAAGCTTGGTTTTTGGAAAGTGACCATGAGTCTCTGGGCTTTGGGAATATATGGAAAAAGAAGAGGAAAGCTAAGAGCACTGAGCAAAAAGATGCATACCACTATAATTATTATAAAGTAAGTATGGAAGGAAAAAAAGAACGATTTATATTTGATTGATGAGTATGAAAATCATGTCAAATATGCAGGAGTTGTTTAATTAACCAAACTGAAGGAGCTTTTTTGAAGAGAATCTAGTAGATGAAAATATATAAATAGAGATTTCTCTGGTGAAAGGAAAACTTGTGTGATTGTGAAGTATCTTGTTTGCCTTTTGCTCGAGCTGAGATTTCGATTTGGGGATACAAAGAGAATGAAGAGAGAAATGGGGAGGTGCAAAATGGGTTTGTGTTTCAGTGACAAGTTGAGGATGAACAGAGGAGCTCCACCTCCTGATGTAGTGACTGCATTTATGGCGTATACCGAGGGCGGGAACCACATGACCTCAGGGCAGCTATGTCGGTTCTTGATTGAAGCGCAGGGCGAGACCGAGGTGTTGGTTTCAGATGCAGAGAAGATCATAGAAAGAGTCACATGTGTAAGACATCATATCACTAAGTTCTTGAGGCATACGCTAAACCTCGATGATTTCTTCGGTTTCTTGTTCTCAGATGATCTGAATCATCCAATTGTTAGTAAGGTATTCTCTCCTCCTAACGTCTTTCTTTCTTTTTTTTCTTGCAACATGGAAATTTTCAAATCTTTGACCTTTTGTTGTTTCAGGTGCATCAAGACATGAACTCTCCTTTGTCCCACTATTTCATTTATACAAGCCATAATTCGTATCTGACCGGGAACCAGATCAATAGCGAATGCAGCGATGTACCTCTCATCAAGGCATTGAAGAGAGGTGTTCGAGCTCTTGAACTTGACCTGTGGCCTAACTCTACTAAGGACGACATACTTGTCCTCCATGGCTGGTATGTCTTTTTATTATAATGTCTATTCGAAGATCTATAGGTCGAAAGTTTTGTCGAAAAAAAGAGAGTTATGTTTAATGTTTTTAGGGCATGGACACCTCCAGTGGAACTGATCAAATGCTTGATATCTATTAAAGATCATGCCTTCTCTGCATCTGCATACCCTGTGATCTTAACTTTGGAAGATCATTTGACTCCAGATCTTCAAGCCAAAGCAGCCGAGGTGCTTTTCTTGATATCGATGAGGAATCATTACCGCGTTAGTCTCAGTAGTTCTTGAAAGATAAATCTTTTTCCTACATTTATCTATTGATGCAGATGATGAAAGAGACATTCAAGGATATGGTGTATTTTCCTGAGTCTGGTGGTTTAAAAGAGTTCCCTTCACCAGAAGATCTCAAGTACAGAGTTGTAATATCCACAAAGCCTCCCAAAGGGAACTTAGAAAAAGAAAAAGATTCCGAGTCAGATGCATCAGGAAAGGCGTCGTCATCGGATGTTTCAGCCGACCAAGTAGGCGATGAGAAAGTACTTGCAGTCCATATTTAGGAGTTTTAGTTTCTCAGTGTCATCTTATATTTCTCTCTTTGCTTGCAATGACTTTGTGTAGACCGAGGAAGAAACAAGCGAGGCGAAAAATGAAGAGGATGGATTTGATCAAGAATCCAACAACTTGGATCTCCTCACCTACAGTCGCATGATATTGATTCCTTCTGGAAATGCTAGAAATGGATTGAAGGAAGCACTTACGATCGATAATGGTGGAGTTAGACGGTTGAGTTTGAGGGAGCAGAAGTTCAAGAAAGCCACTGAAATATATGGAACCGAAGTCATGAAGTAAGTATCACATTCTGATTCAAGAAAAGCTAGTTTTTTTTTTTGGTTCTTGCCCTAAGCTCAACACAATCTTAACGTATTATACATTTTCTAGATTCACACAGAAGAATCTGTTGAGGATCTATCCCAAGGCCACTCGAGTAACCTCCTCCAACTACAAGCCCTTTAGCGGTTGGATGTACGGAACTCAAATGGTTGCTTTCAACATGCAGGTTTGTAGTGTATTTTTGGCTTTCTCAAGGCTTTTTAACATACATCGAAATCTCTTACACATAGATGCATCTTGGTTCTCTGATTCGCAGGGTTATGGAAGAGCTCTCTGGATGATGCATGGGATGTTCAAGGCGAATGGTGGATGCGGGTACGTGAAAAAACCTGACTTTATGATGAACAAAGGTCCCGATGGAGAAGTGTTTGACCCGAAAGGGAAATTACCCGTAAAGACAACTTTAAAAGTGAAGGTGTACATGGGAAAAGGATGGGACTCTGGTTTCCAGCAAACATGTTTCAACACATGGTCTTCTCCTAACTTCTACACAAGGGTAAGCAACTTAAGCCCATTTTGAAAGACTTGAAATTCTTCGATTTAGATGTATACTTTGCGGCTCGTGGCTTTGTTTTGTGTCTGTTTCATGTGGATTGTACTGTTGTGTGAAGCAGGTGGGGATAACAGGAGTAAGATGTGATGAGCTAATGAAGAAAACAAAGAAAGAAGACAACACTTGGGAGCCTTTATGGGACGAGGAGTTTGAGTTTCAACTTACAGTACCCGAGCTTGCGTTGCTTCGAGTTGAAGTTCATGACTATAACATGCCAGAGAAGGATGATTTCTGTGGCCAGACATGTTTGCCTGTTGCAGAGTTGAGACAAGGCGTACGTTCTGTTGCGTTGTATGATCGAAAAGGCGAGAGACTAGTTGCAGTCACACTTCTCATGCGGTTCCAGTTTGTTTAGAAAACAGAGTTTCTTTCTTCTTATTATAACCCTCCAAAGAGTTTGTAGCAGAGAAGCTTTTACGGCAGATAAAAATCAATGATCACCAAGTACAATACCCAAGTATCACAAAGGGATGAAACAACCGAACATTCATACATATATGACGAATCGAGTAAGTAAGGTTCAATCTTTATTTTACTATTTTGATGAGTTTACATACCAAAAAAAAGAGAGTGGTAGGAACATTAATATGTGTACTGTTACTTATTTGCTTATATATTATTTACCTGGGGAAAATAAAATCATGACGACAGCTAAACTTGAGATTGAGAATAACAAAGCTTGAACCAAATTGTACCTCCAAACTTCACGCTCTCTGATTCCAAATCTTTCATTGCACAATTAATAATTTGTAAATTTGGTTCCGAGTAAACAAGGTAGGACTTGTG